GCCGGAAGGCCCCGCACCCAAGATGGCGTGGCCGGCCCCCGCTGTCCCTCCACAGAGGGAGCCGGCAGCTGCCTCTGGGAAGGCAGGACGATGGTTTCCACCCCGCCGCTCGCGTGCAGTCCTGGTGGGTGTTTAAGAGGCGACCCGAGCACAGCGGCCCAGCTCCTGGCCGGCCCCTGCTAACAGGCGTGGGTGGGACGAGCTGGCTGCACCTAGGGCGGACGTGCGGTGACAGTCTTCCTGACACTTCTAACTTTTTTTGTTCATGTTTAATTTTTTTAATGTTACAATTTAAAACCTGCCCCGGGTCCGTTTTGCATTATTCAGCTCTCTCTCGTGAACAGCAAGGGAAGGGAAATGACCCAGCTTCCCGCTCGTTCCGCGAAGTCCCCGGAGGCCTCACCTGGATGTCGCACTCGATTTCACTCAGCACCATGCAGGGAGAGCCGTTCTCCGCAGGAGGGTGGGGCCAGGACGGGGAGCTGCTGGGAGCTTGAGAAAACAAGATGTCCAAGGGGAAAGCACTGTGGCGGGGAGCCCGAGCACGGGCGGGCAGTCTCGCCCCCGGCACCTCGCTGCGGGTTTGGGGCCTCAGCCACCCAGTGGGCAGAGGCCACCAGGTTCCTGTGCCTCCCTCCCTGCAGCCACCGGGCACGTGTCCTTAAAGTGGGGCACTCACCCCTTCACCCCTGGGTCCAGAAAGATTGCCGGGACAGCTGATCTGGAGAGACCCACAGGTCCCAGAGGTCCATGGGCTCCCCGGGCGCCGTGGACAGAATGGGGATGCATTGTGCGAGCCCGGGGGAAAGGGGCCGTTTTCTCTGTAAAGGCCGACGTCCCTTCAGCCAAGCGGCTCCACAGTTGCTTCCTGTTGTAGAGGGGAGTCCCGGCCTCTCCCTTCTCAAGGCACCTGCACGGCCACTGCCCACGTCCCAGCTGTCAGGCTGGCCCTGGAGCACAAAGCCTCTCAGCCCCTCCTTTCTGCAGGGAAACCGAGACCCAGAGAGCAGAAGACAGCCAGGCTGCAGCCGGGCGCTCACCGCCACCTCCGGGTGAGTCGCCGTCTGGAGATGACCAGCCGCGTGCAGCCGATACTAAGCAGGATGGCAGAGACCCGGTGGGCAGAGGGGACCTGCGGCCAGAACGCTCTGTAAATAAAGCGGCTCAGGCGGCGGGCAGGTCGGGGCTGTACAGCAAGTCCGGCCTCCGAGACTCGTCCTGCAGCCACTGCCATGGACCCTTCCTGTGCCCTCCTGGGGTCCGACCCAGGAGATGAGCTCTGGGTGGGCTCCAGAGTCCCCAGGGCCAGCAAACCCTACCAGACACGCAAGGCAAGAAGAAGGCGAATGGTCACCGGGGCACAGGACGCCTGGGCAGCTTTGAAGCAGAGGCACCCACGGCTCCCTGCTCAGGACCAACTCTCAGGCAGAGGCCGGGACTCCCTCTTGGAAGACAGAGGCAAGCTTTTCCCATAGCCGCAGGTCAGGAGCGTGGAGACACGTGCAGAGCCAGCCCGTGGGGACACAGAGAGGGACGGGCACGGGGGTCATGTCTTCAGAGGGCTGTCCGGGGCCACTGAGAGGCCATGTGTGAACAGAAGGAATGCCAGGAGTGGGCACTGGGTAGGTGGGCAGGCTGGGGCCGTGATGGTAGGACAGCAAGGCTGGCCGGTGGGCAGGGAAGGGAGGACAGGCAGAGGAGGGAGGGGAGGGCGGAGCTGGCCCATGTGGACAGGGAGGAGGGGCAGAGGAGGAGGGTGGATCTGACCCTGTGGACAGGGAGCTGGTTGCCCCCGTGCCATGGCTGCCAGGCCTGGTGGGCTCCGCTTTGCCCATGTGGAACCCTAGTCCAGGGGACTGGAGCCCAGCCCACCCAGCAGCCCTGGGAAGGGGCCCTGCTGGGTCCTTGCTCTTCCTGGCAAGTCCCACTGGGCTGTTCCACGTTGGACACAGCGGCCGAGAGCCATCTGCTCCTGTCCCCTGGCTCACGCTCGTCCTCGGAAACTGAATCGGTGGCCCTGTCTGTCCCGGGTCTGCCCCGTTGGGGTGAGTGCCTCCCACCGCCCCTCCCGGGTTGCAGCCCCTCCCTAAGGCATGAGGCTCCAAAACACGGCTGCTCCCGGGGTCGGGGGGGCGGGGGGGGGGGGACGAGCCCCAC